AGGCAAGCACTCTACCAACTGAGCTATATCCCCAACCCATAATTGTGATTTTTTTAAAGAGGCAGGTCCTAAGATGTTGGGTAACTTGTGAAAGGTATGAAATACTTCAGAGCTGGGGTTTACTGAGTGCTGGGAGCACCAGATTCCATTCCCTGAGCATAGCTCTTGCCTCTTGGGGCAGATGTTCTCTTGACAATTATATGATGATTGAGAAGTTATACATCTGCAAGTGTTTGATTCCTTTTAAATGGTAAGAAGTAGCTGTTTCACTGTTCTCAAGGAAGAGGGGAGAGAAAGGGCAAAGGAAAAAATGGAACTCTTCAGTTTCTGTGGCATCCTTGGATGGAATACCCCCCATAATAATTCTTGTCTTCCTAAGAAAAAATCATCCTCCCTTATGTTGACATTTAATTTTCAAAACGGTGTCTGCAAAGAACTCCTAACCTGCCTGACCTAAATTCAAAGACCTGTTCTCTCTGACCTCAATGCTATTCTTGATGGCATTATTAGCCATTAAAGTTTTTTGCTTCTCTTTAAAAAGGGGGGGGTGGTCTGTGAGTGAGAGAGAAATGATGATCAAGCAGGTAGAGCAAAGTGTGAACAATTGAGTCTTGTTACTTTTCTGAAGTTTGAAATTACATCAAAATTAAAAGTTACAAAAATAGCAGCATGCAGGACAGAGGATAGGGCCATCATTGTCCATCTAAGAGTGTTCTGAGCAAGAAAACAAAGGCGCAATGAACAAATGTTTTACTCTATAACATGATACCAGGGCTAAGTGGTTCCATTTCCAGTACAACTCAGACTCTTTTGTAAAACCCGATTTCTGCTCCTATTTCTTATGATCGTCCTTAAAAAACAACACTTGAAAATAAAATTAAAGACACTTTTTTGTTAGATCTGATTTTACCATGACCTCATATGCTTGACCTAAAAGATGTTTTTTAGCAGCCCAAATACAAACATGTTTAGATACCACTGGGAAGACCCTGGGTGAAGACTGAAGCACGTGAAGTGGACTCCCCTCTTCCTTTTGTGGTGTCAAAGTAAATACCACATAGTAATGCGACTGCCTAAACAGGGGGTGTTTGTGACATTTGTGAGACCACATTTTTATCATTTCTATATTAACATTTTTACAAGCACAGGAGCCATTCTCTGACCAGCCAGCTGCTGTCACTGTATGAGCCAACACAGTTATGAGTCAATAATATTCAATAGTTGATTAAGAATAAACTTTCTGGGACTATTGGCAGTCCTTTAAAACAGTACAGATAATTTTTAAAAATAAGAAAATCCAGGTGAAGCTAGTGGCTAGTGATAATTGTAGTGTCTCTTACCACAACCACCCAAGTAGAGGTCATACTATGTCTTTTTTTTTTTTTTCCTTTTGTCTGTTTTTGTGGTACTGGAAATTGAACCCAGGGATGCTCTACCACTGAGCCATACCCACAGCTTCCTCCCTCCACCTTTTTTTTTTTTTTTTTTTTTTTTTTTTCCCCCTCCAGACAGGATCTTGCTAAATTACTGAGGCTGGCCTCGATTTTGCAATCCTCCTGTGTTGGCCTCCCAGGTAGCTGGGATTACAGGCGTGTGTCATGGTGCCCAGTTTAGAATTTCTTCTTCTTATTATTTTTTGCATCATGAATGATGTTTGTTTATTGTTACTATTTCTTTCATTTATTTCCATTTTTTTTTATAGTGATGAGGCTATTTCTAGATATTACTTCTGATGAGCCAGGGTGTCTTCTGTCTCCTGTGTTAGAACTTGTTTTTAATATTTGTTTTTTGGTCAGCTCTCAAGACATGCTAACAAATGTAGTTTGGTCATTTTAAGTAATTATCCTCTGATATAAAAGAAAAATAAAAAGACTTCCTCCAGTGGAATAAATTCTGAACCAATAGCTCATGAAGCTGTTGGATTTTTTTTACATATATATTTTTAAAAATTTTTAAATTTGTTTTAGACATTGATGGACCTTTATTCATTTATTTTTATGTGGTGCCGAGACTCGAACCCAGTGCCTCACACATGCTAGGCAAATGCTCTACCACTGAGCTACAGTCCCAGCCCCTTTTAAACATATTTTTATTGGTGTATTACAATTTTACATAATGGTGGGATTTGTTTTTATATATCTGTACATGAAAGCAATATATCAATATAATTTGGCCCATACCATTCCCAGTATCCATCTCCCATCCCTCTACTCAGTTGATCTCCCTTTGATTTTCATGAGATCTCCCACCTTTCTTTCTTTCTTTCTTTTTTTCTTTTTCCCCCTCTCTGGCTTCCACATATGAGAGAAAGAATAGGCTGTTGAATTTCTATCATTTTGACTGGGCTTTCCTTCACTTTCTATGGGTGAATAGACTGTCTCCTTTCCAGTTGGATCATTTTGTGCATCTGCTAGTAGTTGTCATGACTAGTTCACCAAGAAAGTAACTTGGCCTGATCAACTCCTGTCCCTCAGAGGCAGTGTGGGGCCATAGTGGGTCGTGATCTCAGGGATTACAGCAAACGGGTCCAAACACAATAGCTTGTTCACTTTCTAAACTTGGACAGTTTACCCTGAGGCAGATCACTCTGAGACTGTTTCCTTATCTGTTAAGTGAGATACTACCTACTCTGGGTTGCTATTGATAGGTTATTAACTACTATAACAGTAATAGTACCTGGCTATGCACAAAGGATTAAATAAATTAGATTAAATAAATCAGAGTGCTACCAAATAATAACCAAAAGCCATGTTTATGATAAAAATCATTTTGTCACTTATGTACCTAAGGTTGTATTCGTCACACTGTCAGTGAATCCATGCTCAGGGTAGTTTGTTAAAAGGCTTGGGTGAACATGAATTACAGGTTTGAGATATGGCCAGCAAGTCCAGGTGATTGAGAGGGGAGGAGGATGGTGGGTGGCACTTAGTGCTAACATTGATTTACCTTGATTAGGATAGTAATTTACTCTACATTTTTTCACAAAAGGCTCATCAAGGAGTACAGCTGTAAAAGTAATTCATCTCTGTAGCAATCTGTATCTTTGTGCTAGCTTGGAAAAATCCATGGTTTGTCATAATTTGTGATGTTTGCTCTTATTTTATAATATAATGACATTTAATTTTTAGGTTCTATTTAATATTTATGTCCTTTGTAAGACTGCAAAGTACATAATGTGGTGTCTCCTCCCCAGCCAGATTTGGCAAGGGACAAGTGCTCATATTTCATTCACGATTCAGGTCAAATTGCATCGAAGGCACTGGTTCTCCTGGTGGGGGTTTTTGAGTTACTAATGAAAGTCTTAACCTCTAGTTCCCTTTCTTTGACATGTGGGGGTTGCTTTTTTTAAAGCAAAGAAGAAAGACTTAGATCCAAGACATTTCTGACTTTGATGAGCACATCCTTTTTTATTGAGGAGCTGGGGAGCACACCTGTGCTTAGAAAGCCTTTCCTAAGTCAGGATGGGAAGGAATGCACCTGTGCAAAGGGTCACCTCCTTCCCAGTGATAGTGTAGGAAATGAGGTCTTCTTTAATTTTTGTTCAGGGTGAATGAAAGTTAAATTTATCTGTTCGAATAATACCTACTGGGTGGCATTGTTCTTACTGCTAGTAAAGATTGTAGCCATGAGATTTCAGGGTTAGACTTCTGTTTGTGAACTATTAAAATTTTAATTTTTTAATGTTTTTTAATTTATAAAAAGAAAACGACACTTTCTACAATCAGGTGTTGGTAGTAACGTTCTCTGATATTAACTGGGTTGCATCAAGCTGTGGAAAAATGACCTTGTCTTGGGCTGAAATTATTTAGTTTTCCATTGCCTTTTCCACATTGAAGCAAATGAGAATATTTAGTAAGGCAGAAGAACTTTTGGAAGTCTGATTCAGGTCCTTAGCTGGGTGACTTTGGGCAGGTCACTTCTTGACCCTTTTCTCCAAAATGATTGGGTTGCACTAATTACAATTTTCTTTTTTTACATCATTTTTGTGGGGAGGAGGCAGGTATAAAAAGAACTATCTGGTTCTAAAAGGTCTGGCATTTCTTTTTTTCTTAGGTCCTTGAGTGAAGCAGGATTCTTAAGAATTAAAACACACTTAACAAAGACAATGCATGGTCCTGGGGCAGGGAATATGGTCCTGACACCTTTACTGCCCTTCATCTGGGGTGGCTTTACAAAGGATTTAACATCTTACTTTGCCCAATAGTGGGCTGATGGCATTTCACACACAGTAGGTGCTGCATAACTCTTTAATAAATGCTGGCTTATAATGCAATTAAACATTAATAGTCACCAAGCTGGAATTTATTTTAGCCTAGTGCTGTATCCAATTACTGTTTGTTGAAGGAACTCATTGATGAATGTCTGGCTGACTTTAGCCCTTAGTAAAAGCTTGAGGATTTAATGTGCTATATCAGGATTTAACTGTGCTATTTCTATTTAGTGTGTAAACTAAGTTTAGTGTCATGATTAGAAGTCTGAAAGCTAAGCAGTTTGGCCCAGGGGACCCACTCCCAGCAGGCAGCACTGTCTCAATGGGAAAACTGCTTAGGAAACATGGGGGAACTGAGACAGGGGTGGGGGTCTCTGCAGCCATTTTTCATGGGGCAGAATAGCAGACAAAGCAGGTGGCCCCGTTCCTCACACTTCTTCCTACAACTACTAGGACTTTACGGGAATTTCATTTGTAGGCAAGTTAGAAAATCAACAAAACAATTTTCTTGAGTCCTTTTCCCAATAAATTAGTGTGTAGAGAGGTGCCTTTTAAAAGTGACTGGAAATAAACTAGATTTGGTGGCATTTTTGAGATATTGAGCTACTCAGGGGGCTATTTCCAAATTGTATAGTCCTGGGCATTGGAGGGTGGTGACACTAGAAATTTGATTACTTTCTCTGGGTCCAGCTGTGTGCAAACAAGCATTCAATAAAAGCTCTTGGAGATGGCTAGAATAATGCATTCAGGTTTTTAATTTCTTTGTTTTTTTTTCTTGTGTTGTCCACAGGAGCCATTATTGGATGTCCTTTGACTGAGAGATAAGGTTTTTAACTTTATTATTATGCCTTTGGAGATGGAGTCCAAAATGAGCAAACTGGCTTTCGGTTGTCAGAGAAGTTCCACCTCAGATGATGATTCTGGCTGTGCACTGGAGGAGTATGCCTGGGTGCCCCCTGGCCTCAGACCAGAGCAGGTAGGAACCCAATAGTATGATTTTCTGCTTTGTTTTTCAGTGTGACTTAAGACTTTAGAGCATTGTTTTGTTGTGTTTTTGCAGTAACACTGACATACCACTTTCCCTCAGTTCCCTCACACCTCTTTGGATGACTTTGAAGTTTTGCTTTTTAAGGTCTTATTTAGTTCCTCCAGGAAAGTTTTCCATCTCTTTACACCCATGGATCCAGTCACCCCACAGCGATGCAGTTTTTGCCTTCATGATAGATGAAATCTCACATCCTGCATCTGTGTGCCTTTGTAATGTGGGTTTCTGATGAAATCCACTCACTCTTCAGAGAGTGAGAGGAATTTACATTTTTTAAAACTTCAGTGACAACAAAAAGATAATAAAAGGAAAGTTTCCAGGCCAGATGTCAGTAATGCCTTTGCTGTGGAAGAGAGATGCCGAGCTATAAGAATCCACCGGAAGTGGTACTGTCTAGAAATTCAACCTGTGATAACTTCACTTTTAAGAGTCTGTCACCAGACAGAGTAATTGGGGAAAAAAAAAATTAAGGAGTTAATTTTGTGCTTTGTCTTATTTTAAGAAAGATAACCATCTGTATGCCTATTTTTATTTTCCCAATATCCTTATAATGATGAACTTTTTGAAAAAAAATCACTGGTGATAGATATTATTATGAGGGCAAAAACATCCTTTGAAATAAAAGATGACAAGTGTACATTTGCTTCTGAGTTATAGTTCCATTTCCTTTATGGTGGGAACTCCTTTGAGAGCAGAGAGTCCTTGTTCATCCAGGGCCCTGCACAGCAGCTAGTGCACATGCAGCTGCTATTCAATAAGTGTCTGTAACTGTGAAAAGCTTCTAGAGCTGATACAATGTGGAGAAGATAGAGTGCTAGCACCACACTTAGGGAAGCAATACATTGACAAAGTCCCCTTCTTAAATCTCAGAGTGGGTAGGTTTCATGTGATATTGATTTCTAAACAGAGAGGTCCCATGTGCCCTAATCTCTTTCTTCCTTGGATCATTTTCGTTCCTTCTCAGCATTGCAGTATCCTTTGCAGTACTCATTAAGGGATGTTCCTTATTTAAAGACAATAGAAAAACAAATATTAAGTTCTCCTTTCAAAGTGAACTAAATATAGTTCAGCATGGCTCCTCTCCAATTTCCTTGGAAAGATTGATTCCAGATATTTAGAAAATAGCATCCATGGAAGTTAAGGATGCAGATGCTTCAAAGAACCTGATCAGAGTCTGCAATGTGTAACAAGATTCAGAGAGCAAGTTAAATGTTTGTATAGTGGCTGGATATTGGACAGTGTCACATAGCCCATGTAGTCACCTGCAGAATTTACCCCAGACTCTCAGCTGATCCCTTGGCTGACCCTTGGAAACTGACTGAGGAATAGTAACAGTAAATGTGGATTTTTTATGGTGTATAATTTATGATGCTCCTAATTGTCACTACAAATTGCATTCCTGAACAGCAATTTAGCAGCTGGATGCTAGTTATCTGAAGGTTTGCAGTTCTGCTGAGTTGGCTCAGCTGGTCTTCTCATTAGCTCCAAGAGGCCAAACCTTGTATTGAGGGAAAGGTAACTTAAAGACTGAGCCAGCTAAGACATACAGTTTCTGTGTACTGATGTCATTCTTTGTCACTTACACAGATCCAGCTCTATTTTGCATGCTTGCCAGAGGAAAAGGTTCCTTATGTTAACAGCCCTGGAGAGAAACATCGGATTAAACAGCTTTTGTACCAGTTGCCACCACATGATAATGAGGTAAAATAACAGAAAGAAGGCTAATTAGAAAAAAAGAAAACATACAATAAACATGGAGATGCCTCTCAAAATCCCAGCTTCTCACTGGCTAGGCCTCTCTGGGGTCTTTGATCAGTTAAAATTTGGCCTGAGAATACAGCTTCCCATTCTGTAAGAAAAGAGGATGAGTGCAATAAACTTAACCAACACAGGTTGGTTTTTATAGTGTTTGCAGCCACCCACCAAATTCCTACAAATTCCTGAGATTTTCCCTACCCCTGCATCCAGGGTAAATGCTTTATGGTAGTTCAGGCCTGAGTCGAGTTGAGTGCCTATAGAATGTGGAGTGAAAGTGACAATTAACAAGTTTAAACCTTTTTTGGAAAGGTTAATGCCTTACTTTTTTTCAATGTCTCTTGCTGATAAGGATTTAAATTTCTCATTTAGAAAAAAAAAGAAAAGTAAAACAAGACTATTTCTTCAGGTTGCCTTTCCCTTTTTCTAGAGAGGCTGCAAGATTTAGGCATGGTGTCATTTTAAAACTGGGGATTTGCAAGACAGGGCAGGTAAACCTGCCGTTTCATTTCCTGAAACTCTAACTCTGGATATAAAGAATGGGCGAAGAAGACTGTGTAGTCCAGTGTGGGATTCTGTTTTGCTTTCTGTGAAGGTGCGGTACTGCCAATCTTTGAGTGAAGAGGAGAAAAAAGAATTGCAGGTGTTCAGTGCTCAGCGGAAGAAAGAAGCACTTGGAAGAGGAACGATTAAGCTTTTGTCCAGAGCAGTGATGCACGCCGTATGTGAGCAGGTAACTCTTTCTAGGGTGATGGCTGGTGGAGGTGATGTGGGTAGAGTGAGCTGGGATAGGTGACAGTTAGTACAAGGTGTGCACCCTAATAGCCTCCAAAATACAACAGAAAGATAGACAACCTAGCTTTGTATTCCACAGTAATTCATATTGGCTGCACTGCTATGTATGACAGTGGCAGTCAGTCCACCCATATGTAAACATTGAGTGAAACCGGGCCTTGCATAGCATCCTGGCATGGGGGGAGGTACTAGGACAAAACTAGTATTTGAAAAATGCAGAAACATAATGAAGACATTCAAATCTTAACTGGCAGTTCTCAGAGTAGGAAATGTATCCAGCAGGAGGCTGGCTCAGGAAAACCGCTGTTAAATGTGGATCCGATTAAACCGTACTTAGGAACAGTCGTGTGTAGTAGTGTATCTGAGGCATGTTCATCACAGCTGAGAATCGCAAGTAATCCAGTATTGAAGAGCCATTTAATCTCTAACAGGAGAAGACCAAAATAAAAGCTTTCCTGATGAGTTTAGGGCTCATTATGAAGTTGTTTTTAATAAGAGTCATTTTACATTCACATTTTTTGTTTTCAGTGTGGGTTGAAGATAAACGGAGGGGAAGTTGCAGTGTTTGCCTCCCGTGCGGGCCCTGGAGTGTGCTGGCACCCATCCTGCTTTGTCTGCTTCACGTGTAATGAGCTGCTGGTCGACCTCATCTATTTTTATCAGGATGGAAAAATTCACTGTGGCAGGCACCATGCGGAGCTACTCAAACCACGGTGCTCAGCATGTGATGAGGTAAAAAAGTTGGTCCCTGAATGCTGGAAAAAATAGCTGGTAGCAAACCAGTATTCCACTGCTTATACCTAAGCAAAATATGTATCCTGGTGTGTGTTCTGTGTGTATATTGAGAACCCTGTGCACTCATACAACAGGATAACACACAGCTGATAAAGAGAGGGCAGCAGGTGTCTCTGGGCTTTCCTAAGTGTGGTGACCTTGATGATGGGGGGAAAAAAACAAGTTGCAGATGATCTCATTTTTGTTAAATATAGGGGTGGGCGATATAATATACATATTTGTATACAGTCAGAAAAGTTATAGAAAGACATATACCAAATTAATAGTGGCTCTCTGAGGCATGTTGGAATGGATTATGGTGTGAAAGAAAATTTCTTAAGCTTTTTAATTTAAAGTAACTTGAAATTTATAGAAAAGTTGAAAAGGTACTATAGAGAGTTCCTGTATACCCTTCTCCTCCTGATGCTAACATATTACACAGCCATGATATATAAATACACACATACATATATATATGTACATATATATGTATATATATGTATATATGTATATGTATATATAAAATCAAAGCTAAGAGATTAACATTGGCATAATACCAGTAGCTAAACCAGACTTTAGATTTCCCAGCTTTTCTACAAATGGCCCTTTGCATTCCAAGATCCAATCCAGGGTGGCTTGTTTCATTTATTTCATTGTATCTTCTCCTTGGTCTTCTTCAATCTATGACAGTAAACTTTCAGTTTTTCCTTTTATACATTTATTTTTTCCAATAATGTGCTATTTGAACATTTTTTTAAATATCAAAAAATGTAAATGTCCTTAATGCTTCACTTGACTCAGTGGCCACCTCCAGATTATCTACACACGTGCCATTCACACAAACCCAGCACCTGTGTAGCCCCTACAGACACTTGTATGATGAGTCTTCTATTGACTCACACAGCCAGGCATGGTGGCACACACCTATAATCTATGTGACTTAGGAGGCTAAGGTAGGAGGATCACAAGTTACAGGCCAGCCTTAGCAACTTAGCAAGGTCCTATCTCAAAATTTAAAACAGGGCTGCAGATGTATTTCAGTGGTAAAGGACCCTGGGCTCAATCCCCACACCTGCTTCCCCTCAGACCACTAAATTATTTCAATGGTAAGATGTTCTTTGCCAGATTATGTCACCAAAGTGCTACTAGGGAGCAAAAATACAATGAAGTGATTTATCTACAATGTAGAAATAGAAAAAATTTTTTTCAAGCTTAAGCAAGGATTTGTTTAGCATCTCTTTTCAGCCCTGTGTTTGTGCTCTTGTTGTGTAGCTAAACCAAGTTAAATTTAAGCTAGAGGCTGTAAGAAACAAGGTTAGTTATTTGATTTAAGAGGCAGTGTCTGTCCGTTGCCCAGAAAACATACGGTTACCTGGCCTTGTAAATAGGTCATGCTGATTTTCTTTTGTTCTATTGTTCTGCGTTTCTCTTTACAGATCATTTTTGCTGATGAGTGCACAGAAGCAGAGGGTCGCCATTGGCACATGAAGCACTTCTGCTGCCTCGAGTGTGAAACGATCCTGGGAGGACAGAGGTACATCATGAAGGATGGCCGCCCCTTCTGCTGTGGCTGTTTTGAGTCTCTCTATGCAGAGTACTGTGAAACCTGCGGGGAACATATTGGTAAGTCTGCAGCCCAGCCTTCTGCCCTGTCACGTAGCCATTGGTCATTTACAATTATCCACAGTCTTGTTTATCCATGTATTTTGTTTTTTTAAATTGGGGTACAATTTACATGTAGCTAAACATACAGATCTTAAATGTATTAGTTTGATGAACTTTGACAAATGGATATGTAGTCAATTCTCATTAATCACAGTTGTGAACATTAAATTAGTGCATATTGAACCATTGCTCCTCAGAGAAATGTAGGGTTAAGGTTCCTGTGAACCTCCGATCATGACACCTGCCTGGTGCTGGGGATCAAGCCCAAGGGCTCCCATTGCTAGGCAAGTGCTCTACCACTCAACTACAACCCCAGCCACATTTTCATTAACCTATCGATACAAAACCTCATTTCATGTGCACTTTAGGTTAAAGCCACTTTGAATATACACTGGTAGTGGATTAACCTCAAACTCACAGCCAGTAGCATTGTCACTCATGGTTAGAAGCTTATCCAATACATGTGTTTTCTCTGTAAAGTATATCGAAAGGCATATCACAGTCTTGCGCCTGGGAGCATAGACAGCATTTCAGCATTATAGTTAGAGGCCATTTTAAACAGCAAAATTATGGCATTAAATAGACCACGAATAGAACACTTTTTTATAGTATGGGAACTGCAACCAACCACAGAGCATCCTTTTGTTTGAGCTCAGCTAGGAGTGTGCATGTTGGTCAACTTAAATTTACTCCATTCTGCATGCCTATGAAAGACCATGAAAGTGTGATGGGTATCAATTCCGGGTGTACAGAAAATTTTTAGTGAGTAAGGAAATTCACCAATTCAGAATCTACAAACAATATTAATTTTGTCTTAACCCACACCCCTTTCAAGACCAAGATACAGAATATTTCCATCACCTGAGATGCTTTCTCTTGGCTGCCATTTCCTCTGTTTCTTCCTTCTTCCTTTGTTCCAAGCATTAATTTTCCTATCCTTTCTCAAAACAGGTGTTGACCATGCGCAGATGACCTATGACGGGCAGCACTGGCATGCCACAGAAGCATGCTTTTCCTGTGCCCAGTGTAAGGCCTCTCTGTTGGGATGCCCCTTCCTTCCCAAACAAGGTCAGATTTATTGCTCAAAAACCTGCAGCCTCGGTGAAGACGTCCATGCTTCTGATTCTTCTGACTCTGCGTTCCAATCAGCCCGATCGAGAGACTCCAGAAGAAGTGTCCGAATGGGTAAAAGCAGTCGGTCAGCGGATCAGTGCAGACAGTCTCTCCTCTTGTCCCCTGCTCTGAACTACAAGTTCCCTGGTCTTTCCGGCAATGCTGATGATACCCTTTCCCGGAAGCTAGATGATCTGAGTCTCTCCAGGCAAGGAGCAAATTTTGCCAATGAAGAATTTTGGAAAGGGAGAGTAGAGCACGAAACCCCTGAAGACCCTGAAGAATGGGCTGAGCATGAAGATTACATGACACAACTCCTCCTCAAGTTTGGTGATAAAAGCCTCTTTCAGCAGCAACCCAGTGAGATGGATATTAGAGCCAGTGAGCACTGGATATCTGATAACATGGTGAAAAACAAGACCGAGTTAAAGCAAAATCATCAGAGTCTTGCCAGTAAAAAATACCAGTCTGATATGTATTGGGCCCAGTCACAAGATGGACTGGGCGATTCTGCTTATGGTAGCCACCCAGGCCCTGCAAGCAGTAGGAGGCTCCAGGAACTGGACCTGGACCACGGTGCTTCAGGATATAATCATGACCAAACGCAGTGGTATGAAGATTCCCTGGAGTGTTTGTCAGACTTGAAACCAGAGCAAAGTGTTCGGGATTCTATGGATTCTTTGGCTTTGTCTAATATCACAGGTACGTATAGGGAGTGTGGGCTATTTGAAAAAGTGACCACTAAGACGTTTATTCAAAAAACATTGCTGATCAGCACCAAGAGGGGATATATTATTTAACACTCTGGACAAGCTGGATACAGTGGTATACACCTCTCATCCCAGTGACTTGGGAGGCTGAGGCAGGAGTATTGCAAGTTTGAGGCCAGTCCGAGCAATTTAACAAAATCCTGTATCAAAAGAAAAAAGGAGGGCTGGGGAGATAGCTAGTGGTAAAGCTGAGTTCAATCCCCAATACGAAAAATAAAAAAAAAATAAAAATAAAAACACCTTTAGCCCAGAGGAAGGAAGGCATTTCAATTAAATGTTGAACGCTATACAGCCAAACAAGTATGTGTCTGTACAGGTAAGTGGGCATGTATAAAATATTTTTTTAACCCTGTCTTTTGAGATAGGTATTACCTGTTTTAAGGAGGAGAAAACTGGTTTATTTGAATAAGGGAGTCTACAACTGGATCGTGTCCAAGAGATTCTGTACTATTAGATTGTGCTATATGAATTTCAAAATATTAAAATCGGCCTGTGCACTTCATAAGCTTGTAACAGTCTTAAACATTTTTTCTGAATTGCCCTGTGGCAAGAGATAGCTCAGAACGATCTGAGTGGTTTTTTTTCCTCATTTAAAATATTACCTTACTATTTCCAAAGCAAATTCATATTATCCACATTTTATCCTTAAAATAATCCCGAGTTGTACAGAGTGGATATTACTCCATTTTGCACAGTAGGAAATTTAAATTAACAGAATGCTAAATGTCTAGTATTACATAGGTTGTAAAGACAAGATTGGACCTAGGATCTAGCACATTGTCAACCTCATATTTGCAGCAAGTTTTTGGACACAGAAATATGGTCCTTGTGCAGCAAATTTTATAGGTTAATGATACACAGTCATTTCATAAAGGTGGTTTATTAAAACAACCAGCAAAGGCTCCAGTGGCTGCCCACTGCCCGAATGACCTGAGCCAGGCAATGCAGTGACATGGACGATGAGAGGAAGTTACTCTCTGGCTTCTGTGGACTGCTCAGGGATGAGGCCTACAATAAAGGGGAGGGAAGAATGGTGGGTGAGACTGTCTGCCAGGCCCTGTACTAAGTGTTTTGACATTTTAAATCAAAATCAGACTAATTTGATTCAACGTGAAGAGTTAGGAGCTGGGGGTGTTGCTCAGTAGCAGAGCATGTGCTTAGCATGTGCGAGGCCCTGGGTTTCATCCCCAGCAACTCAAAAATAAAATTAAACATGTTAGGGGCAAGCTGGGCATGGTGGCACAACCTGTAATCTCAATAATGTGGGAGACTGAGGCAGGAGGATTCTAAGTTTGAGGCCAGCCTAGGCAACTGGCAAGACCTGCTCAAAAAAAAAAAAAAAAAAATTAGAGGCTGACATTCCTTGACAACAGACTGAAAAACAGGCTTCCTTTAAATAGTAGGGAGTTACATAGTCTTCACCTGACAACAGTCCACACCACTCCCTATTGTTAGTTAGTCTTGGTCCTGTTACAACAAAAGGCATCCATCTCAATTGTGAGAAGTTTTTCTTTCTTCTTTTTTAGCAGGGGGTGGGGTGGGGTGGGGTGGGGTAGGGTGGGGTGGGGAGGTAGGTGTCAGGGATTGAACTCGGGGACACTTGACCACTTAGCCACATCCCCAATCCTGTATTATATTTTTATTTAGAGACAGGGTCTCACCGAGTTGCTTAGTGCCTTGCTTTTGCTGAGGCTGGCTTTGAACTCACAATCCTCCTGCCTCAGCCTCCTGAGCTGCTGGGATTATAGGCATGCACCACCACGCCCAGCAGAAGTTTTAAAGTAAGATGGGGTTGGAAACAACACCTTTTGTGGGTCAGAGGTAGAGTAGAGAAGATTGGCTAAAAGTTGAGATCAGGGGTTGGACAGACCTTCTGAATAGTCTAGGTAGTCTTTTTAGGCCAACCACAGATAATATGTAAACAATCGGCATGGCTATGTTTCAGTGAAAATATACACAAACAGGCTGTTGGGCTGTCGTTTTCCAAACACCAGTCTAAAATGAGGAAGATTCCCATGATAGTGGCCATGTGGTTGTAAAGGAAGGAAATGATTTGAGAGATGTTCAAATAAGACAATTTGGCTTTAATGGATTGAGGAACAGAAGCTTCCACAGCTTATGTTAATAAACAAATGAAGAGCTGTTAAATTTTTTGCTGCTTGTGCCATGTGCTAAAATAATGTTTGGCTCAAAACAGCAGAGCTCATAAGCAAGGTTGTTGCCCCTTGTATCATTAACAATATTTATATTCTTTTCAATTGATAAATAATACATATTGGTTTTCCGTAGTAGGATTGTTTATTTGCAGTGCTGGGGTCAAACACAGGACCTCAGACCTGCTAGGCAAGCATTCTACTGCTGAGCTACAATCCCCATTCCCTTCCTAGTGGGTTTTAATCAAATATTGCAATTGTAAATCTTTGAAATGTTTGCTTTCAATAGCGTATTTCTAATAGTTATCAGAATATTAGGCTTTTGAGAATCATATATTGTTTTGGCTCCTCTTCTAGGGGCTTCAGTGGATGGAGAAAGCAAGCCTAGGCCATCACTATATTCTCTACAAAACTTCGAGGAGATGGAGGCAGAAGACTGTGAGAAAATGAGCAATATGGGAACTCTGAACTCTTCCATGCTACATAGGAGTGCAGAGTCCTTAAAAAGTCTGAGTTCAGAGTTGTGTCCAGAAAAAATCATGCCTGAAGAGAAGCCAGTACATCTGCCAGTGCTCAGAAGATCCAAGTCTCAATCCAGACCACAGCAGGTCAAGTTTTCGGATGATGTCATCGATAATGGAAGCTATGACAACATTGAAATCCGGCAGCCTCCAATGAGTGAGAGGACTCGGAGGCGGGTTTACCATTTTGAAGAGAGGGGATCTAGGTCCCACCACCATCGCCGCAGGAGAAGTAGAAAATCCCGCTCTGATAATGCCCTGAATCTTGTCACAGAAAGAAAATATTCTCCCAAAGACAGACTGTGGCTTTACACTCCTGATAACTATGAGAAATTTATACAGAATAAAAGTGCCCGGGAGATCCAAGCATACATCCAGAATGCTGATCTCTATGGACAGTATGCCCATGCCACATCTGATTACGCACTGCAGAACCCAGGAGTGAACAGGTTTCTGGGGCTCTATGGTGAAGATGATGATTCCTGGTGTTCCTCCTCCACTTCCTCCTCTGATTCAGAAGAAGAAGGGTATTTTCTTGGACAACCAATTCCTCAACCCCGGCCACAGAGATTTGCCTACTACACAGATGACCTTTCTAGTCCAACTTCTGCACTTCCTACCCCTCAGTTTGGTCAGAGGACAACTAAATCCAAGAAGAAAAAGGGACACAAGGGCAAAAATTGTATCATTTCTTAACTGAGTAGCTGTGGAGATCAATTGTTTAAAACTTAGCCATTAACCTTTGGAATCTTATCTTTTTTCTTCCATAGGAAAGTTGCTAAAATAGTTTAAAGTGCTTTCTTCTCCCATGTAAATGAGAACCCTACTGCTGTTTACAGTGTCAGATTAACAGTTGAAAGGTGTGATTTCTCCAGTTTACCCTCCTTGGATGGTGCCAGGTTAACGTGACATGTGACATCGGTGCCTGTAGCAGGTGCATTACAGTTTCAAATAGCTGCTTTGGTCTCCAATCCACAAGAGAATACTCAAACTCTCGAGGTGACTGGACCGGGGTGTCCATTTAGAAGATGGAGAACTCCAGCCACCTTTGTAAAGCAATAGTGTTTGTCTTTATGTACGTCAGGTTGGCTCAGGTCCTGACCAGTCTGTCTTGTTGTGAGGCATGCACTTGTCACAGTGACCTAGCTAATACTGTGCATCCTATTGTGTGAGGCCAACTTGTCCCCTTTCAGCCCTTATTAGCCAGGTAAACATTGTATTGTATTAGCTCCAGCTCCAGATTGAAAAAGAAAATTGCTATTTATAATGTAGTATTTCATAGACGTAAGTGTATTCCTAATTTAACGGTGCAAATATTAATGTATATACTGTACAGTTCAGATTTTAAAGCTGATATTTTTATATCCCTGAATTGCAAGATGTTTGTTACACTGCAGTGCTAGATTTATTAGGGAACCAGAAATAGCATTTATGGATGAAATGATTGCTTGTATTTTAGTCAGGGTTTATAAGTTTTAGATGGTTAAATTTATATTGCCTAGTGATGGAAAGTTTAATTTTTTTGATTTTCAATATTAAAAAGGCTCTGTATGCATGGTGGGGCTATGTAAATACTCTTTAAAACTATGGCCCTATTAATCTTACGAGTGTTATTTATGGGTCAAGCAATGTAAACTGTATAAATGTATAAACAAACAAAAACCCACACATACCCCTGGAATATATGGTAAAAACAAGTAGATGCTGTCTGGGTGAATGTTTTTCCCTGGGGGTCAGGTAGGGTGTCTTTCCCATTCTTGGCAAGGTGATGATTATCTCATGAGAAGAGTCTAGAACTACAAGGATCTGCTTTTCCTGGAAGAGGTCTTTGTAGATTTGTTATTTGAAGAGAGGTGACTCCTTTTTTTCTTCCCCTCCAGCTAACTTGTTGGCCTTTGAAAGCAATTTTGAAAACTGGGACTTCTAGTTATTTTTCTTTTAAAATCTTTAGAGGATGCTGTGACACTGAGTACTTCAAGTTCATATGAGGTTCTAGTTCAAGGAAAAATTATGTTGGGTTTGAACTAATGAGTGGATATTTTGATATGTGCCATTCTTGCATATATATCTCAGTCTAATTAAAGGTCTTGGTGGCATCTGGGGCCTTTTAGGGAGGTATTTAATAAATGCTTAATAAATAACAAACTACCTTTCTGAATACAAGTCTTTATAAACATCCAGTTAACTTCTTCTTTGGTCCTGTGTTCCAATTTGTCTTATTCTGCAGTCCTTCTACCATGAATAGGCCTCCATTTTACTTATGCATGTCCACATGTCCTCATTAGCAGGTAGGAGATAAGACTTGGGACACCAAAACATATGTTTCCATATTTATCAGAGCAGGGAAAAGCTATGAGGCCTTGAGGAGGCCAGATACAATCCAATAGGTAAACCAGTGAGCAAACAGCCTCCCTGTCTCCTCGCTGGATAGGGCAAGGCTTTGTATCTAGGCCTTAAAGACTTCCTTCAGAAAATCACCAATGGGAGGAGAACACTTTACTACTCCATTTGAAAAAAAAAAAAAAAAGACTTCAAACAGGACAAAAGATAAGCTTCTTCCCATTCCTCATCCCAAGTAACCACTATTACCCAGTTCTAGTGGATCCCTTCAATGTTCAAAGCACATTTATGTGTCTCTCTTTAAAATGCTAGTTGGGGATAGGAGTGTATCTAGTGGGAGAACACATGCATAACATGTGCCAGGCCCTGTGTTCAAAGTAAAACCCATACACAACTGACTTGCTTTTTGTTTTGTAGTACACACAGGTCTACCTCATTCTTTCAGTGGCTGCTGAATATTTTAACTTTAGATATGCCATTATTTAACCTGTGCTTTGGTGAGGTACTTGAATTGCCTCAAACCTACCTTACCCTGCAGTGGCATATGTGTGCACATAACTTGGGAGTAGCATAATGACCAGGATGGAGGTTATGTATATTTAAAACTTCGATACTGCCAATTTTCCTCTAAAAGAAACTGCTGATTTACACTTACATCATGTATTATCTGATCACAACCTCACATAATATATTAGCAGAATTCTTGGTTTTGAAGAAATTTTTAGAACCTACTCTGTAGCAAGCATCCTTTTAGGAACCCCTTATGCAATATGTTACATTCAGCTGATGGTGTGTAGCCTGAAGACATGCAGGTATGAGCTGAAGGTGCCGCCCTCAGTAATTTTCAAGTTCATTCTTAACAGATTAGTTACTTTTGTTAAATCTGTCAACAATCACCCTAGTGATTCTTTTCATTTCCTTATTATAAGGGTTATATAGATTTCCAAGGGTTTTAGGAAATAAATATTTATTCACAATGATAATGTAATCTTCATATTTTTAAATCTGTATTAGTAAAGCAGAAGACAGTCTACAAAGGCAGAAAGGAAAGCAACTGCCTTGCAATTCTGTAAAAAAAGTATAGCATGTAGTTGCTAAAAGGTGTGAGTAGATCAAGTTAACAGGAACTTAAAAGTATCTTGGTCAGTCACTGAATTCTGAAACTTGATCCAAGACAAATATTGAGTGTTAAAATTCTGCCTGTGATCACACATGGGGAATCAGAACCCCAAGGGTTGCATTTTCCTCACTTCAGAGCAGTTATTGCAGAACACCACTGCCGGTCCTGGAAAGACACAAAGTCCATAGGAACTCCTTTCTACTCTCATTAAAAGAAAATGATTCCTTATAGGTAAGCACATGCTATTCTCTGCACTCTGCTTGCTCTTTAGTCCCTGAGTTCAATCAAAAGTGCCAGAAGTGAAAGGAGAAGTCATTTGCTACCCAATCCTCTTGCTTTGGCTACCAAGCATGGACGTTAAAATGATGATGAAATTAGAATGCATACTGCTAGATCTCCAGTGGACTCTTGACAACCACTGGAAAGAACCAGTGTTGCTAGACCATCCACTTTTTCAAGAGAAGCCAAGAATCTGAAGTTTTGGGAACTTTCCCAGCTTTTAAATGCTAACAACCAACTCAAACATTTTTGAAACACTGCTGAACAGAATGAGTATGGCATCGCAGTTTCTAACCTCTGGGTCATAAATTCAGGGGTCGAAAGCAGACTCCTCTATGCTTAGAGTTGTCTAGGAAGGCAAAATACTAATAACTATTTATAGAAATACATGTGTCCCTTTTTTAGATACACAAAGAAGAAAAATTATTGGGATCTTTAAAAACACCTTAAGAGCTTCATTATCAATTCAATGCTAGTCAAATAATTATGATAAATTCTTTTTAATGAGAAGATCACTAATTGCCTAGATTATCTAGTCATTCACTAGAATGCTGTATAGAGGTGTGCAGAAAACATAGTTTTGGGGTTTTTTTTTTTTTTGTAAACTCCAAACATATTAGAAAGGCTTCTAGGCAAACTGTACTAAGGAGCAGGAATAACTGAATTTTGCAACTGGAAGAATAAAATGGAAGCTTTTCAGAATGTGGAAGAAAAGTAGGATACTGGGTATATTGTATAGATTTAGTCACAGGATTAGAAACAACTTACTCTGTTTGAACAGATCCATCTAGCTGGCCAAGTATAACTTTCAGGGATCAATTTTAGCCATAATATTTCTTTCTGAAAGAAAATTTTGCATCTCTATTGCTGTACATTTACATACGTATGCTGTTATGCCATGTCAACTTTTGAAGTAACTTGCAACCCACTCCCTGAATGCATTTTATTCCAAAGTGGACAGTACCATTAAGAATAAAAATTAGTTGCCTTAATACTAGTGATTTCAGCATTTTTAGGTAACTGAATCAAGCAAGTGATGTTGCTTGGTGGCTACTAATCTAAATCCACTCACCACAAAATTGATCTTGCAGAGTGATGCAAAACACTGAACTGCAGGAGTCAGGAGAGATGAGTTAGGAAACCTACCTCTCATTAAGGTTCTGACGGTGTTCATACTGTAATATGAGAGTGTTAGACCAACTCAAAGGTTTCTTTCCAGCTTTAGACTTCTGTGGAGATTAAATTTATTATATTATTGGTCTGAAGAATCTTCTCAGTATAATGTGTCTTTCTTTTTCTGACTCTTCATTTACCAACATGTTTGTCTGACAAGGATCTCTGAAAGAATGATCCCCACCCCTTCCTCTATCACCAAGACCATAGCTTAAGGGAGCTGGGAGTTTTGAGAGGGGTGTGTGTGTGTGTAATTAATACTTGAGATTCTGAGTAAGAGGATAATCTAAATAATGAAATAGAAATTCAGGCATGGGGACTGGGGCTGTAGTCAGTAGCAGAGTGCTTGCGTAGCATGTGTGAGGCACTGTTCAATCCTCAGCACCACATAAAAATAAAAACAAATAAAAGAAAAAAATTCAGGCATGGTTATCTCCCTTTCAGTGCATATGCTTAAGGTTGGTCCTATCTCTATTAAGTAGACAGTTTGGAAGCTGGATAGAGTATGAGAATAAAGTAATTTTCTCCATGTCATTTCTCTCCAATTACCAGGAGAAAAAGAAAGAAAGTGGGCTGCTTTTGGCAACAGTATTAGTCTTGAATCTCTGAACATGGAAGCAAAGATCAAAAGGTGTTAATCATATTAAATGAATCCTGAATGCTACACATTTAATTACCAGGTTTATTCCACTGAAATGAATTCTCAAACTTCACCATGAATCCTGATGCAGCAGTTACAGATTGTGAGTCCTGGGCTGTTTGGGGCTGCATGCCCAAATCTGTTTCCTGAAGTAGCTCCAAAGTCATAGGAACCAATATGGAAGTTAGTATCGAGTGAGGATAAAGTGAAAAACCAGTAGAATATACTGAACTAGGACTTTGTTTTTTGTAAAGTTATTAGTTTTATACATAGCCCATTATAATTATATTATATATGAATTTCACATATCTCAAATAGCTAGTCTGTACTGAAGGCAAGATTTGAACCTAACTCTGAATGACCACTAAGCTTTTTCTTCTTTAAAAACACTAAACTTAGACTGGAAACTCTACGTAAGACACTGGCCACTTGCTATATAGACCTGGGAGGTCATAACTTCTGTAGTCCTTAAGACCAAAATCCTCATTGGTCCTGAGTTTGATCCCCAGCATTGGGGGAGAAAAATCTAAATTGGTAAAGAATTCCATATGAACGTACTTTGTTAGTTACGAAACACCAGAATGGTGATTCTAACCTTGTTCAGATAGTGCAATAAGAAAAATATGATGCTTCTCAGAATTCTATAAAATAGTATATTAAACCTGAAATAAATGCATTTTAAGCAACATCCAATATGGCATGCTATATTTTACTCTACAGAAGTAACAGCAAGTTTTCTTTTAAATAATGGGCAAAAAAACCCTTTAAAAACCTAACACCATTTTAGTGATAATAATCTAGCATTAGAACACCATCAATCCGGAAAAAGAGTTCAAAAAACAGTATGATATAGAAACAGGCTGTTCTTCCTGTTATATAAATGTACACTAGATTGTAACAATCATATGTCACTTGTCATTTAAATATAGCTTGAAACTGAGAACTCTGGATTGGCAAAGCCTTTTATACAATCAATCAGCCCTCATTACCCCAAGATCAATCAGTACAACAAAAATGCAGCCTGCTCAGGGCCAACTTCAGTCAAACTAACTTTTGGATGTAATTTGACAAAAATGAGCAGTGAGTCTGAGTAAAACATGAGCTGTTTTAATAGGAAACCAAATAATAATGTGTCTTAAAGAATAAAAATGTTTATTCTGCTCTCATTAACAGTTCAGTACTCCATGTAGTCATGGAATGATCCAGGTTCCTTCCATATTATGAATCCACAAAGAAAGAAAAAAAAAAAAAAAGAACAATGTTACACTGCGTTGCTACCTCTCTTGGGAAGGGATAAAAGAGTACCTCTAATGTCTAAGAGTCACAGTCTAGAGCAGTACTTCCCTTTCAAATTCCACAAGACAGAACTTACTTCAGATACCTAACTACAACGAGGGCATGGCAAATCCAGTCATTTGGCATTATATGATTCAGTATTAACTCTATAATCATATTAACTCTATTACAATGGCAGTTATATGATTCAGTATTAACTCTGTTACAATGGAAAATGGGCAAACAGATGTTGGTAACTACCTTAATTACTGGTACACGCCCATTCCCATTTCTTGTTCACCTGATTGGATAACACAAGTGGTCTGAGAGTTGGAAGGAAGGACATGAAAAATCTGCACCTTGGTCTGGCAAGCAAAATGTGGGCATTACTCCCAGAGCACCACACAACAGCCCAAGCAGTTAAAGCTGAAAAGCCAACTGGCTGCCTGCAACACTGAATGCTGCCCACTATTATCCTTTAGAGACAATCATCATTCTCCCAAAATTATAGCCAAAAAACTTTCAGAGCCTACCTTGGAGTTTAGAATCGATTACAGCAAACTCTGGAGTGAAGCTGATATCAGAATCTATTTGGCAGAGTGTAGCAGAGTACTTCCTAAGGGGATCTGGTCTTCCCTTCCTTCCAGAGGTTCTGTATCTGTAAACTGGCTCAGGGCTGGGAGGTGATTGAGGGCTATGAGAAATTAACATTTTTGGCAAGAATACTACATATATAATGTTTTCAAATTTCACTCAACTACAAGAGGTAAAACTATAAAATGTTCAAAATCCCTCAATTCTGCTCTCAAACTACCTTTTCCCAAAGAAGGGGAGAAAATATAATCATCCATTCCTTAACTCTCTGCAGTCTATAGTTGAGACAGGTTCCTAAAACAGAAGACAGATTAACAAAAGAACAAGCAAGTTTATTAACACCTACAAAGCATGGGGCTGGGGATGTGGCTCAAGCGGTAGCGTGCTCGCCTGGCATGTGTGCGGCCGGGGTTCGATCCTCAGCACCACATGCCAACAAAGATGTTGTGTCCGCCGAGAACTAAAAAATAAATATTAAAAATTCTCTCTCTATCTCTCTCTCTCCTCTCCCACTCTCTTAAAAAGAAATAAAAATAAAAAAATAAACACCTACAAAGCACAACACAAGAGAGAAAAGCAACTCAAAGCAGTTGTTTAGGAATCTGCCTTAAATAGTATTTTTTGTTTTATATTTTGATACTGGGGACTGACTCCAAGTGTGCTTTACACTGAGTTATATCCCCAGACATTTATATTTTTTTCAGAGGGTCTCCATAAATCGCCGAGGTTGTCCTCAAACCTAAAATCCTCCTGATACAACCTGTGAGTCACTGAGATTACAAGTGTGCACTACCACATCTGGCCTAAACAGTTAATTTTAAGAAAGAAAAATGAAGTTCAGATACATGACAATGGAAAAGTGGCCCCAGGCTTTAGAGGTGGGAAAACTGTGGGAAGATAAATCTATTGAGATTTAGAAAGTCAGCTTAAGAGGGTCATCTCAGAACTGAGAAAAAAAGCTCTCTGTAATTTACATTTGGGAAGGGAAAGGAGAGAGAGAGAGAGAGAGAGTGTGTGTGTGTGTGTGTGTGTGTGTGTGTGTGTGTGTATATGTGTAGTGGGTATAGACTTTTATTCTTTGTGATTCTCTGTCCTGCTTTTAGGCAAACTGAGAAATGGCAGAGTTTCTCTGCATTTTGATTGTCTTCAACTCAAGAATCCTTTATATTTTGGAGAAAAAATATCTTGGTTTCCTTCACCATCTTTATCACCCATCATCTTCAAAGAATTTTAGTCACATAGGCTGATACCATTCCCTCCTGTATTTTGCTACTTTTCCTTTTCTAAGTCTTATTCTTCCAATATCCAGGGTCACACGTTACTTCCTTTGTGAAGGCACCTTTAATTTGACAAACATGAGTACCTATAGCATTTCAAACTGTGCTAAGAACCAGAGTCCATGACAACATGGTCCCTGTCCTTCCTCCATGAATTATTATACTGATGTAGGGTTTTATTCCTGCTGTACTTGGAAATTCAGGCTCACAATGACATAATTGTTAAATACTATTATGCTCAACAACTACTGTTTTCAGATATCAAAAGTCCATTTACCACCAAATTTAACTTCCTCTATCCTGCTGCTGAGTAAGTGAACTGAATAATTAGAAACAGTTTTTTAGCAGAGAGTAATAAAATTTACATCTTAGCAGAGCAGTTTAAGCCTGATAAAATAAGAGAAAAGACAATCTAATTATTTAAACTTGGTTTCTTTATTTTTTACTTTTAAAATTCACAAAAAGCTTTACAATATCTGCTTTCCCCATGTTGATCATCAAGGCTTTATGGTAAGACAATGAAAATTTTATCACATCAGTTATGTATACTCAAAAACAATGGATAATTTACAAACACATCTCTTTAATCAAGAACATTTTACAAAATACATACTCTGGTACACATCTGATTTTATCCTATAATTGGACTTTAAAAGGCATTTAAAAAAAGAAAAGAAAAATCCCCAACAAATTTAACACTGACAAGCCTAGCAGAATAATGCTGATGGCAAGCTATAAAGAGATCTAAATATCAAATGTACTTTGAGGGAAGGGAAAAGGAAGAAATTACCTGTTGAATCTACATTGAAATGCATCTGTTAGTAAGACTTTTCCTTTTAATGGATTTCAATAAAGTGAACAACTCCTTTGCCTCTGGCAGTTTCTCAGGTTTTATTTTCAAACTTGTGACATCTTAAAGAAACAGAATCCTGGGACTAGAATATTTAAGGAAAAGGAAAACACTGGGGACAGGAGGATATGACATCAGTACTTTCTTCATCTTTCTATGGTAAGTAATAAATCACTATTCACACTAAGGAAGAATATCAGAGATAATAAGTGGAATTTCATTTGGCTTATGTTTTATAAAAGTTAACTAAGTATAACATCTCAATGGTAAAAATAAAAATTCAAGATAGTCTCCCTTAGGAAACTTAAAAAAATAAATGTTGCCCTCAATTAGTTTTTAAATTTGTAGAGTGGCATAATACATATTTGGAGACACTCATGATAAAATCCATTAAAATTATTTATACTGCTATTTCCTCTTTTAATATAGTCTTGATATACTCTTGGGGAGCTCTTTAGATAGCATATCCACTAAAAATAATGCCAGAACTGAAGTGAGAATAGAGTGGAAATGGAAAGAGGATGGGAGGATAATGAAATGGTTAGTAATAACAAACATGATTTTTAAGGTTTCCTCACTAATGTCACAAAATGATATATTTTGGCTCAATGGCACCACGCTGCTGGAATTGACCAGGAAATAAGTGGAATATTCTAATGGTCCCAGTTAGGTCTTTAGCTAACTCGTGATTTGGATTGCTCACTGATGAAGGACTGTTGACACAGTCTGGTTGGTAGAGGGTGGCTGTGGGGACTGACTGCCTGTTTTGCTCTGTTTCTTTGAAGAATACTTTTGAAGGGCTAGGAATCTCTAAAAGTCGGCAGAAAAAGAACTCCTCAGATTACACAGATTAACAAAAGAATAATTCTGTAAATGGCTTAATCATGAGCATGTTATCAATCTCTTTTTAAGAAAAAAAAATCTCCAGTACTCCTCTATATTTTAAATTTTTCCTCTATTGATCAGGTTTTTGAAACAATCTCAACTTTAAAATATCTCTTTATCATTCATCAAAAATTGCCCCATTAGTCTAGTATATGATGTTATTGAAGACTACATGGCAGAGAGAATAGTCAAGAGTTTCTTTTGGAAGAGATACATTGAATTCATTTACTTGGGGGAAAAAAGGATTTTATTCTAAGGTGTCTCTTGGATATTTTAAGTGCTCTACTATATCATAGAGAATTATTCTCAAACCAAATATTCTCTAAGATACTAATGTACTCAGGATAGGACACATTAACGTATTAAAAGTTACAAAGCCTAAGAAAAACAAGCACAAGTCAATAAAATCACAACTCAGAATTCAAATATTTCCACATGGTATCTTCACTATGAAATGCAAAAAGACTACTGTTTAAGTGAAATGATCTCTAACATGTAAATTTCACTCCTGTGACCAAATGATCATAAACCATGGAAGACCATGAGTAAGTACAGAAAGCTACTCCCCGGGACTGCTTTTTCAAAGCTTAAAAAATTATTTGACCATCATTTGGGTGGAGGGATGAGTATGGATTAGGAGGCCTCTACATGTTTAAAAAAGATTCTAATTAAAATATTTTAAGCAGACTATTTTAGATGTTTATTTGATACTGGAAATGTGGTCAACTATCATAAAGTATTTCTCTTCATTACAAAAATTCCATATATTAAGGATTTGAACAATTGGGAAAAAAAATCTAGAAACATTTTTTTTTTTTTTTTGCCTGAGCACTAAATCTTCTAAAAAGGCTCTCCAAAATCTTGAGCAGAAGTATCATAATCTGCAATGAAATGCTTGAGTTCTTCAACACACCGCTCACCTATTTCATGCAAATTCTGCCGCAGTGCAAACTGTATAGACTTTTCTAATGAAGGGTCTTTCTCAATCAGCATTTTCACCACCATCCCAAATGTTTCACAGTCCTGTCGGTAAACCTAGAATGGCAAACCACATTCTGGTTAGCTGAGAGTGAAAATAATTAGACAAACATTTAGTTGATTGAGCTAGCAGAATTACAATGCTGAAATCTGTAAGGGAAAGGCAACAACACAGCAGAACTTCTCCGAGAGTTGTGTGGTTGCTGCTGCCAGAGGCCACTTAAACCTCTGGCTTGGATATTTGCTGACAAATGAGTACAAAAACAGATACAACACATCACTGACTGTACAAGCTTGGAATGGCATTTGCCAGTACTAGATAGGGCAGTCTACTTAAAAGGACCATCAAGCTAGAGATGAGAAAAGAACAAAGGCTAGGCAAGGCACATCAATGGCTTTGTTCATTTATTTGTTTGGAAGAAAACAATTTCTGAGCCCCTAACTTCAGCTTCTTTGAATCATGACAAGATAACAAATTCAACAACATACAACAAACAATAAGAATGCTGATGTATTGAGCTGAGGTGGTTGAGCTCTTGTCTCGAATACATCAGCACTGAGTTTGATCCTCAGCACCATATTAAAAAATAAATAAATAAAACAAAGATATTGTGTCCATCTACAACTAAAAAAAAAGAAAGAAAGAAAAGAAAAAAAGAATTATGAAGTATCTATTGGAAAAAAACTTTTCAAGTTAGACATAGGTAATCATAAGTTCTCCAAGTCAGGCCTAAAATCAAAACAGTATGTTAAATACTCCCATGCGTGAACATGTTTATACACATGTATGTGTTTATATATATATATATATATAAACATACACATATCATACGCATTATGTATACGTACATTTCTATTTCAATGTATATATCTTACTTCAAAATTTATATATTTTATCAGTGGCAATTAGATATTTTTCTGTCCAAAAATTGCTATTTCTTCTACACTAAATGACACTTCCTTAATTTATAGTAAAAAAAAAAAAAAAAAAAAAAATTTTAGATTTCCATGCTATGTTTTGTACACAATAGTCTGTGTCTTTAAGGAAAAATAGTTAAGCCTCCAAAAAAATTATGTGCACTATAAATTATTTGATTTAAAAGACATGTTACAAGGCTGAGGCAGGAGAATTCTGAATTTAAGGCCAGTCTGGGGAATTTAGTGAGAACCTGTCTCAAAATAAAATTTTTGAAAAGGGTTCAGAATGTATCTTAGTGTGAAGCACTTGCCAAGCAGTAAGAAGCCCTGGGTTTAATACCAGTACCACATAAATAAGTAAATATCGTGTTACATTATCTTTTATTTTTCTAATGTAACAATATGACATTGTTTGTTCTCCAAAAATGACTTTATTCATTCTGGAAAACTTCAGAAATCATATTGAGCTATGATGTTTTTATTCCTAAAATGGTCACTACTAGTTGTGGTGGCTTCTACTGTTTTTAAATGTCTACAATATTTGCCTAAAAATAGCTATTTCGGCTGGGGATATAGCTCAGTTGGTAGAGTGCTTGCCTAGTATGCACAAGACCATGGGTTCAAACCCCAGCACCACAAAAAAAAAAAAAAAAAAAAAAAAAAAAAAAGCTATTTCAAGAAGACTGTTTGTTGAACATTTTCTTGGGGTATGGGGCGACTGAACCCAAGGGCACTATACAACTGAAATATATCCCCAGCCATTTTCATTTTGAAACAGGGTCTTGCTAAATTGCCCAAGTTGGCCTCAAACTTGTGATCCTCTTGCCTCAGCCTTCCTATTAGCTGGGATTACATGTGTCACTGTGCCCAGCAAGACTGTTTAATTTTTGCCTCTCACTTTTAGGTTGCTAAATTTTACTAAAATTATTTCCATGCTGTTAAACAAACAATTCAAAAGTCCCAAAGAAATTTAAAGGACAAGTTCTTCAAATGACCCCCAAATTAAAATACATAAAAACATTAGCTCTCTTCTCAGCAATATACACACACATTTTTCTCAAGAGTAATGAAATTTACTCATAACTATCAAATTTAATTCAGCAATATAAATCCACAATTTGTTTCAGCTTATTATAAGGTTATATGATCCAGAACTAATATTAACATTCTGATAAACCAACTTAGAAAACAGTATACCATTCAGATAATATCACACATGATGTCAAGGCAATAGAGTACATTATGACTAGTCTAACAAACACTACTGTACCTAAATTCAGTCCCTGTGGAGGAAAGTCAGAATCATGATATTTCACAGTCTTTAGTGGAGATAAATTCCTTACCAAACCAGTCAGCCCACATAATAACAGCATTTTAACACCAACCACAGGCCTCAACAGACCACTTTGTGGGTGGCCTAAATTTTACAGACTTTTTTTTTTATAACAGATGTACTAGATGAGGATAATGTTACCTGCAAATTCTTTAACGTAAATCTGCTTTTTATCTAAACTGTAACTCTTCATTTATAGCATATTTACAGAACATAAATATGCTACATATTTGCATAAAAAAACAAAAAAATTTTAGACATTTATTTAAACTGTTAACTACTATCACTCAAGTGACAAAATACTAATAAACATTTAAGGTTTTTGTTATCTGTGTGTATTTACTATAGGTTTTTTAAGTTTTTCACTGGAAATAGAATAAAAAATTATACACTGGTTAATAAGAACAACCAGAACTATTGTAAATAATATAATTTTCTACTAGAGGAAAACTCTTCTGAAAAGCCTGCTTAAAATGTCCTTGTTGGGCATTAGACAGGAAACAATTAGTTTTTGTTAAAGGAAGACCTCGCCCTCCAACATTTTATAAATACAACTTGAATCTATCAGAAACCTATTTCCGAAATCTGTTCCACAATAAACTCAATCCCAAAACAGGAAGGGTGTAGTTATCTGTAGGAGAGTATGTTTGCTTATGGTCCCTAGCTGGAAATTCATTAATAATCTTCAGATTTGGTATCTACAGGCCACACAGGAAGATTTTTTTTGTTGTTGTTGCTGTTTTTGTTGTGCTTGGACTTCATCAAAATGGGAAACAGGTTCAACTGTGGGAGAGGTTTATATACACCGCACAGAAACTTACTTAAATTTGCCAGCATAATGGAAACACTATCCAAATGTGGTTTCACTAACTCCTTTGTTGTAGTAGTTAGTATTAAGTTAAATTCTTATAAAATACTTTTAGGAACAAAGAAATATGCTAGGATAAACTATCAAGGCTTTTTAGTATTAATTATGTGTTTGGATGACTAGAAGAATATCTGATGAAACAAACTTAATGGCAAATTGCTCCATTTAAAAATTCCTTGTAATGACATTAAACTTCAATATATCACTTCTATTCCTTACCTCTGTTCCCACAAAATAAGAAACCAAAATAAAGGCAAGATGAGTTGCAAGGAGAATTTTCAGATAAACCATCTTTAATATACATTACAATTCTGGAAGAATAGTTTGAAGGAATAGTGGAGGTTAGAGTTGTGCCAATGCAGCCAGCAGCCATTAGCCTCAGAGGCCAAATTATCAAATGAGAATATTTCTTCTATTGTTGGTGACTCATCATTTCAAAGTCATTTCAAAATACTTAAAAGCCTAAAACATATTACTTTGAAAGAAACCATGTTTCCCCTTTCAAATATATTGTCAATGCAACCCATATTTATATATATAATTTATATACAAAATCTCCCCCCACACACACACTGAGAATTGATCTCAAGGGTCTCGCACATGGTGGGCAAGTGCTCTACCACCAAGCTACATCCTCAGTCCTTTTTGTTTTGTGACAGGGTCTATGCTAAATTGCCCAGACAGGCCTCAAATTTATGATCCTTCTACCTGAGCCTTCCCCGGTAGCTTGGAATACAAGCATGCTACACCTTGTCCAGCTTATACACAGAAAATTGCTGGTAGTTTGCTTAGCAAAATGTTTTTTTCTTCAGATTGTATAAAGTGATTGCCAATCCAAATCAAAGAATATAGTTCAGGTTAAATGTCCAATTCCTGTCTCATTCTATAATTAATAGAATAATTAACAGCATACTATTATTTTTAACAATCAGACCTTCTAATCAGAATCCAGATAAGATTTGGTCTAAAACTCTTTTTCCTATGAGATAAGATAAGCATACTGTAAGAAGAAAGTAAAAGTCAACTTAAAATACCCTGCTTCACTGTCCATTCATATGGTTTTCACCACCAGAACTAGATACCTATACAAAAAAACATTTTTTTAAAAGACTACACAAAGAGCCAAGTTTTAAAATATCTAATAATATCTGTTTTATCTTTGCAAAAAAAAAAATCAAAACATACACACAAAACCAAAACCAAAAACTCGTACAGAGACATCATTAAGAAGTTGAGAGGACGGCATATTACTAAGATGAAGCAATAATTAAAATGTAAACATTACATGTAAAATAAAAGGAAAATTTGGCAGTTCTGCCTGTGTCTCCATTGTATAGGTGTGACAGGAAAGCTCTAAAATTTTTCCTCAAATATTGAATCATTCCCAGTGATTCAAATCAGTATTTATCCCATATAGTTCAACTGGGAAGCAGTTGTGTTCTGTATTCTATTTTTTCCTAAATGGCAATTATTTCAGTTTTAGAGACAAATTGGAGCAACCAGAATACAACTTTAAAAGTCAAATTTTGATTATAATGTCCTATATTTCTGTTTAAAGCAGCAGTATCAGCAATCATTCTCCTCACATACTAAAAAAACTCTGAAGCATCTAAATGGAAATCATGTTAAACTATGTTTTTTTCCGCTTTCAAGTCATTGCATATAGACATAATTACACAGTTAAATCTTCAAATTCAATTAATTTGTAGAAAAAGAACCAATTGTTTTGACAATGGAAAATGAGACATTCACATCTACAAGTATGCCACAAAATAAAGAAGAAAATGCAAAAAATTAGCATAGCTATAATTTTTATTTTTTTTTTAGAATTTTTTAAGTTTTTTTTTTTTTTTTTTAGTTATCGGCGGACACAACATTTTTGTCTGTATGTGGTGTTGAGGATCGAACCCCGGCCGCACGCATGCCAGGCAAGCGCAC